TGAATGTTTTACCAAAAGTGAAATTCAATAGAGTTTGGTTGCCTGATTAAAGGAAAAACACAACACGAACACAAATATTTCTGAAAGAAATAAACAACACTTGACTAAAGTCGTACATTGCGGAATGAAATGGGATTCGCCAATTGAGAGTGTTTGTCTTCGAATTTCAACCATGATCCATGCAATTAACTAATTTGTCCTTTGATTACACTTATTCTCAAAATGAAAATGACACCTTATAAATTCGGTGCCTTCGAAGTGTTTTTCTGGATAAGCCTTAATCAGTACGCTCAAATCCAAATATTTGAAAGCCAATGGTGTTTAAATACTTGAATACGTGAGCAATTATTTGACCGAAAGTGACTTACAATCATATGCTATGTTTGATTTTGTCAGTTTTTATGGACTTTCCCTTTTTGAATTTACTTTGGAATTCGGTATTTTTGTACTTTTTCACATGAAACCTTTGTCTGGAAGAGTTAAAACCTTTGTTTCTAAATTAACTTATCAACGAAACATTATGTCAGTACCGAAGCACTCACTTCTGAGCTGTTGTTATCCTTTGGAAAAAAAGAAAACAACACTTTAAATATAAAAATAAGGAGATGTGGATTGATTGCCAATGAGAAGTTAAAATAAGTATATAAATATAAATATAAATATAAATATAAATATACTTTAAGTCTCTTTGACACATTCCCCATTTCCATTCTCAATTTTATAAAATAGTATACCTGTTAAGCGCTTTTCTGGTTTAACCTTCATCAGGAACGCTCAAAACCAAATATTTGAAAGCCAAGGATGTATAAAAACCGAAACAGTTGAAGGGTAATATGACAAAAAAGAAATAACAGACCACCACCAGCGGTATCGACACAGTGCTAGAAAATTTAAATTTGGAGTGCCCGAAGCTCTTTTCTGATTTTACCTTAATAAAGAACGTCCAAACCTAAGCATTTAAAAGTTAAGGATTTTTAAATACGTAAACAATTATGAGCTTTCTGACATTAAAGGACACTTATGAATAGCTAGACCCTCTCCACAAACCACAAAAATAAATAAATGAAAAAATTAGCTGTGTACATTTTTTATGAGGGAGTTGGAACCTGAGTTTTTAAATAACTTCTTCATTTTTCAACATAAACTTTGTTTTAAATCATGTAAAGTACGGAAACACTGAATACTGAGCTGATGATATTCTACTAAACTAATTATCAACCAGCAGCGCTAACACAGTGCTAGAAAAAAAACACTATAAAGTGTGTACTTTTGAAGTTTTTATGTTTTTCTGGATCTATAATCATCAGGAACGCTAAAACCCTAACATGGTGCCAATGGTGTGTACACACCTACATAAGTATAACGACGTAAACACATAAGGAGCTATATGAATAAAATGGACATAGAAAAAACAGCATGATTGACTGAATGCCTACTTTGTCTCCGGGATGAAACCTTAGTTTCTAAATAATTTCTAAATTTAACAACAACGGTTTTTTTTTAAATGTTATAAATGATGTCAATATCGATGTACGGACTTCTATGCTGATGATACCCTCGTGGAATAACTTTCACCAGCTGCCGTGTGGACAGAGTGCTAACTAATGAAAATTAAACTTTTTTTTTAAATTTGGTACGTCCGAATCGCTTTTCTGGATTAAGCATCATCAGGAAGGTTAAAACCTAAACAATAGAAACCTTGAGATTTATAAAACTGCATATGTCAGGACTTATATGACAAAAATGGACCTAAAACAATACGCAAATTCAGCTAAGATCAACTTTGCCTGAGGGATATGAAACCTTAGTTTCTAGATAAATTATCGACGGAAAATTTAAGAACATTATAGTATATGTACATGTAAATCATGTCAGTACAGAAGCAATGACTTCTTAGCTAATGAAACCCCCGGGATTAACAGTCCACCCGCAGAGGTATCGACCAAGGTGCAAGAAAATAAAAAAATAATATTTTATAAATGTGATGCGTCCTTAACGCTTTTCGTAGTTTATTTTCTTAAAAGTTATTTAACTCAAAAGTTTTAAAGCCATCAATATTAAAATCCTGTATGAATTATGTATAAATCCGTAGCATTGTAGTAAGATATTATAATATTGTCTTAAACGGTACTTTTTAAAAACGTTTAATACATATATAAACATATATTGCAATCACGATATTATCATGTATAAATTGCACCAAGCCGATACGTTACATTATTTTGGCGTAATGTCATGTCAAACAAGGCCATGTTTTCTCCGGCTTGTTATCACATCTTTACTACTAATTCTATGAAGTGAGCTGATTGATAATTTATTCTAGGAAAACAAAGTCTATTTAGTGGTTGAATTTGACTTTGAACTAGCTTTTTGCAACTGTAAGAACTCATATAAATTGTGTATTTTTTCTTTTGTTTTGCTTGCTTAAACAGGTAATTGCAATGTAGTCTTAAAAGGTCATTTTGATCTTAACATCATCTAAAAAGTCTAAACAAATAATTTTTCAGTCGTTTTCAGTCTTTCAGTCAATATTCAGATTTATCCGCTGCGGTAAATTCAATACTTTTTGGAAAATTTTCTTGCATTTAATTAAGATATGTTCAAATGTCTTCCTGTGAACAATCTCCTTGTGAACTAGCACATTTAAAATCCGCCTCAGCATGCCGGACTAGTACAATGAAGGGTTCATATTCATATTAACATGTTCTCGTAATGATATTTATACAATATTGTATGATTCTGTAGCTTACAGTATTGCACGGAACATATACTCGGTTGCAGTGAATTGATGGAAAATAATGTTGATTCGATTTCTTAATAATATTTTTACGCAATTGTAGATGATGGCAGTGCATACGGTAATGCTGGACTGGACGTAAATCGTTAATATTTGGTACGAAAAAGAAAGACAGACATATGCAAATACAATTACAAAATGTACAAGCTTTGTTGGCAAATATAACCGTTAATAAATATTCATTTTGAGTAATGTCGACTGGCAAAACAAAATAACGGTCAACAATTAAAGTCTGTAGGCAGTGAAAAATGAAACACCACTTTATAAATTTCATGTGTCCGAAGCGCATTTTTGGATTAACCTTCATCGGAAATGCTCAAAGACAAATATAATAATATAATGTATATTTGTTTCTTATTTCAATATCAAAACAATCCATAAACAATTGATGGTGTCCGAACGAATCATTGATTGACATTAATAAATAAGCCTATATGAAGTTATCTAATACCAATAAAGAATCAAGAAGACAACCAGTCTCAGAAAGTACCAAGGGAAAATACAAAACCAGTCTTAGAAAAAAACGAAAAGACATTGACAAATAGAAAAAGCAGTTCCGACCTAAACAAAAACAATTACGAAAGAAGTTGCACTACAAATGTACGAATATTCACTGGTGAACCGGACAGACATCTCCAATAGTTATATAACTACCTCCAACGTGTTTATACTATCAAAAACCTCTTCATAGATTCTTTATATTTTGTACCCAAGACGCGCGATTTTACGCCAGTACTTAAAACCTTCCATCCTTTATGGGTGGATTTTACATAGATAAATAAAATCGTATAATATAAGCAAAATGAGGATGTTAAATTTGATGTATGCCTTTTTGTGCTTCTTCGTTACATTTGTTTGTTTTTATAGTGATTAAGATGATAACACAATGTTGACTGCTGTACCCCTATTTTTGACATTTTTACCTATTGTGTCTGTTTGTTTTGTTCACACATCGTTGTCAATATAATGGAATTTGATGCGACTGTCATACAAGTGAGAGGTTTAGCTAGCTATAAAACCAGGTTCAATCCACCATTTTCTACATAAGAAAATGCCTGTACCAAGTCAGGAATATGACAGTTGTTATCCATTCGTTTGATGTGTTTTTTTTTTTTATTTTGCCATTTGATTGGGGACTTTCCTTTTTGAATTTTCCTCGAAGTTCAGTATTTTTGTGATTTTACTTTTTATAAAAGACTCATCAGTGACGCTCGAAAAAAAACAATTCAAAGGCCAAATAATAAACGAAAGGTTTTGCTAACTACGTTATATATTGAGTTTGAGAATAAGACATATTTAACAAAAAGCATAACATAACAGAAGATTGGTTAAATGATAACGTTAACAAATAACTAAATCCAACGTCAGCACATGATATTATCTCCCCTTCATACATAACCAAATATGAAACTTTTAAAGGAAAACGTATTGGCAAAATAAAAAGAGAGCAACTGATATAATCAATACAGATATTGAAAAATAAATTAGAGTACATATCAAACAACCAAATAGATCAACTTGAACCGCGTTTAAAAAAAAGGTGTTCCTAAAAAGGTAGCCCATTCACACTCAACAAGTGCCAACTGTTGTTGTGTTCATGAAAAGCATAACACTTTTGTTTAGTATTATGAGTTTATGGCCTAAATGTAGAACGTAAATATCCTTATTTTTGTATGTTTCTACCTGAAAGACTTTTGTTTGGCATTCAAAATTTAATCACGATATTTCTAATCGGTACGATAATAACATCCTCTTCGACTTTCTTATAGCTCTTATATCCTATTCTCACAAACATACACATTTCTTTAATACAGAAGAGGTCTTGCCATATAGTTAAAGCAATAGAACTTTTCACAAGGACAAAGCCAAGTAGTAAAACTGTTCACATGGACATATCAAAACAAAAGGAATTTCCACCTAGATATATTCAAACATTAGAAATTTCCACCTGGATATAGTCAAGCAATAAAACTTTTCTCCTAGACATGGCTAAACAATAAAACTGTTCACATGGACATATCAAAACAATTGCAATTTCCACCAGGACATAGTCAAACAATAGAACTTCCCACAAACCTAAAGAAAATCATTTGTTTTTGTTTGAATAAACAGAGGAAAACAAAAGTGGCGTTCAGAATAAGTCTTCAAATATGACATAAAGCAAAAATGCAGACGGCTCAAGAAAGTTCAAAAACAATTTCAATGAAAGTATAACATTTATTTGACAGAGATAACAACTGAACTCTGTAAACAATATAATGGGATAAATTTGTTTACAATTTTTACTATTTGTTATATTCAATTGTCACTGACCAACAGTCTTTAAATGTACAAAACTTCTGCTAGGTTCATATATTACATTTTAGCAATAACTGTCAATATCATGTTTCAGACTTATAAGTTTCAAGAAGGCAATGACATGGACGAAGTAGTTGATATTAAAGATTTTGAAAATATTAATATATTTGGTGTATTAAATATATGCAAAATGGCTGGCATGTGTCATTCAAATTTAAAATTCACGAATTGCACTTTTTGTGAAATTCAATTGGTCAAAAACAGTTTTACATTTGTTATATAAGATAAAGATAAAATAACGAAAACTGATGATTCAATGAATTCTGTGAAAGATATATTTGTCATCCTGTCCCTGGAAGGCAGCACCCGTCATTGCCAGTTTTTGAACCACCTATGAATAAAAACAAATGCATATCGATCGGTCTCTTTTTAAGTTTCATATTAGTTTTTTCCTAGAACACTAGCTTTCAATAGTAACAATGAACACAAACATGTTTGAAATGGAATCAAAAAAGATAAAATCATTTATAACAACATTTAACTAAAGGAATTATAATAACATACCTTCAATGTGATTAGTAGAAGTACAGGTAATGGACACGATCCAGGCATCATAATTTATTGAAAGTATTCACAATACTTCAAATTTCATGTTTTCTTTTACAAGGAAAAGTCCAAATTTCAAATTAATGACAGAAGATTAAATATAACAATTATGTTAAAGAATGTCATAAAAGGTCCTTAACTAACACACTAAACTAACCTGTTACGTCGATAACACAGCCTTCGCCTTCAACGTACTTATATCCCGCTGTACATGATTCTCTTGTCTGAAGTTCATTTTTTTCTAGTCTGTGAGTATCTAAGCAGAACATGTGACTCTATTATACCGTCGTGTATAAAATATTACAAGGAATTAATTAAAGTATAAAATTTAAATCGTTAATTATAGCAAGTCTCAACATGATAACAAAACTGATAAGACTTTTTTATTTTCTAGAATTTTTTTTTAAATTGTGTAACATATTCACATAACTACTTTATTTGTATGATGTACAGCTCAATTATGAATTATTTTGGAAATAATATCCTCTAACATAATCAAAATTTTATTTTTAGTTATTTGATCACTTTATTAATCGAGTTTAATCTTAAATATATTTTTAAAAATCAAAAAATATTCTGGCAATTATATTTTCTTGAAACAATAGTAAATTCTCAGTTTTGTCGGCGTGATTGTTTATAAAAAGAGCAAACGTCACATTGAAAAAATACTCAACATATCAAAGATGACAAGATTTTGTTGATGTTTAGGTTATATCTGATTGTGCAGATATATCATTCTATTGAGCGGATGACCTATACATGTTTTATTAATAACAAATCGAACGCCTTCAAATTTCATATTGTAGATGCTGTGAACTAATATTTAGTTATGCACAATAAACACATTAAATCGTTTTCCAGATGTCTGACAATAAAGGGGGAAGAAATTTTGTGTGCATTGTTTTCTAATTATATGGCTATCCGTGAATAAACCTATCTGTAGCGTTAGGCTATAAGTGTTTGTTTTATTTCCACCAAAAGTAGGTCAAGGTCTCACAAGTAACCAATTTCGAACTGAAACGGTCATGTTGATCGTAACAGCTCTTAAAAGACTGAACAATAAAGTTTTTCTGTCATGTTCTTTTTTAATTTAATTTTCAGACTTATCCAATGCGGTACCGTTTGTTGAAGTAACTACAAAGACAATATCTTGAAAACTGAATCTCTCAACAAGACTTTTTTAGTTATGGACTTTTCAGTTAATGTTAAGATAAAAATTACAATATAAGACTAAAATTGTTTCCTAGTGTCGGTATTCCTATGTTCCTATATAATTCTATAAAAACAAAAATATGAAGCCTGATCCAAGAACAAAAATGTCTTGTCTGATTCGAGTATAGTAAATTTTTTCTAGACAAAAACTAATTTCTATGCCGGAGATGAACCATGGATGTCTTATAGTATTATTTGTTATATTGTTCTTTTTATTTGTCTTTGTATATTTTTTAACCTTTACTGTTTAGTCCATTTATTTTGGTAATTTCCTTTAGGCGTGGTTCGGTATTTATACATTTCGCCATTGTGATATTTTGCTATGGTCATTTATATATTCTTGTCTTTCATTTTTGCTTATGTGCTTTGTCTATAGAGTGTCTATATGCCATTTTGTTTGTTTGTTTGTTTGTTTTTTTTTTTTGACATAGTTGTTTATTTTATAGTGATTAAGCCAAAACACAAGGTTGACTACTGTACCCCAATTTTTTATATTTCAACTTATTATGTCTGTTTGTTTTTCTCACACATTGTTGTCAATTTAATGGAATTCTATGCGACTGTCATACAAGTGAGAGGTTTAGCTAGCTGTAAAAATCAGGTTAAGCCACCATTGCCTGTACCAAGTCAGGAATATTACATTTGTTTTCCATTCGTTTGATGTGTTTGAGGTTTTGATTTTGCCATTTTGTAAGGAACTTTTCTTTGGAGTTCAGTTCAATTATCTGAATACTGTATTGTTACCTTCATCGCATTGCTCTGTCAAAGAGTTCCAAGAGGTGTTCGGTGGACATTTATACGGAAACATCAGAACTTTGAGCAACTGTAATATTTCTCTCTCTTTTAAATCCTTTATTATCTTCTTGTCTGATAAAGAAAGTCTTACATTGAAGTGACTGCTTTTTTTATTATTAAAAATGAATCACACATTTACGTACACAATACAACAGTTAATCTATAAAAAGTTACTTATCATTTTCTTCATATATAGCTGGAACATAAAAGAATTTTTTTTTTAAAGTTTCTCCTTAATAATGTTTATATACATACCTTTATTGTAGCCACAAGTTAGCTGTAAACAAACAAGAACTATTACAAGTCTACCAGATATCATTTTCTGTTCTATTGATATTCTATCATTAAACTACAGAACTGTATGTTCGATATCATGATAATTAAAAATTCATACACATGTATTGTCAATGACCACCATAAACACATTGTAAACATGCACCTTGATTTAAAGATACTGAATATATTGACAGAAAGTTAAATTATCGGATTTAATTTTTCTTTCATTTTTGATAACGTTATTGAGCTTATGTAACAAAATTTAAGCCTGAAATAAACCAACTATGTCGAGTGATTATCTGACAGCAATACAAAAGTTCACTTGGTACAGAATAAAATTTAATTCTAGTACTAGAATTAATACGATGTATCAAAAAGTAAATACCAAATTTCCACAATTACCTTTACTTGTGTGAGATTTAATTAGTTTTATAATACTGAACATCCTTTTTTGTCAGTGGCATGAAATAACTAAAGGTACATTAATGAATTAATGAATACATAAGTACTATTAGTTAAGGACAAATTCTTAACTCAATTAAATCGGTATACCATGCAACAAAAATAGTTTACATGTAAAACAATACTAACAAAATACAGAAAGAAAGCTCGCACTAACTGAGAAGCTCAAAATATTGCCTTCTTATACCCAAAAATCTTTTGCTTTACTTCTAAATTTTTTGCAAAGAATACAGGAATATTATACGTTTTAATAAATGCCTAACTCCAGAATATTTTGACATACCTTAAAACATCCGCATTACGTATCAGACATTTTTTCGACGTTTAATAGAAATTTGAAATAACACAATTTTTCATAACGCTACAATCGGAATTTTCATGGAAACCAACTGTGCTTCTCTTCTTGCCGACTTGTTCATCAGCGATGTTGCTTATCTTATTTTGACAAAATTGAACCAAATTGGCTGTTAAAAGCGAATTAGTATTCCACTATATCACTTTCAGTTATGATTGAACAAAACAAAATCATATTTTATTTTTTGTATGTCTGGTAGCTAATGCTCCTTTAATACGATCTTCAACAGTACTAACATTGATTTTATTTTCCGAAGTTTAATACATATATAAACATATATTGCTATCATGATATTAACATTTATAAATTTCACATGCAATACGATACGCATATTTTGGTGTAATTTTGTGTCAAACAAAGTCATACTTTTTTTCCGGCTGGTTATCACGCCTTTACTCCTAATCCATTTGTAGTTTGATAATATAGTCTAGGAAAACAAAGTCTATTTAGTGGTTTAATCTGGCTTTGAACTAGCTTTTTGCAACTGTAAAAACTCAAATAAATCGTGTCATTTTTCTTGTGTTTTGGCTTGCTTGCCCAAGTAAATGGATTGTAGTCTTAAACGGTCATTTATTTTGTTGTATTTCATATTCATCCTTCTTTTGTCTGTGAGTATCTAAGCATAAAATGTGACAAGGATCTAATTAAAGTATAAAATCATTAATTATAGCAATGGCAAGACTCAACCTGATAAGAAAACTGTTATGAAATATTTATTTTCTTATTTAATTTTTTTTTTAATTGTGTAACATATTTACATGTAATTACTTTATTTGTATGATATACAGCACAATTATGAATTATTTTGGAAATAATAACCTCTACCATAATCAGATTTTTTTTTTATATTTGACCACTTTATGAATCGAATTTAATCTTAAATATATTTTAGAAATGTATTTTTTGAAACAATAATAAATTCTATGTTTGTCGACGTGATTGTTTATAAAAAGAACAAACTTCACATTGATAAAATACGCATCATATCAAATATGACAATATGCTATTGATATTCAGGTGTTATCTAATTGTGCAGATATATCATTATATTGATCGGATGATCTCTACATGTATGATTAAAAAACAAAATCATAAATCTAGCTTGTGTTTGTTTTATTTCACCAAAAGTAAATTTAGCTCTCACAAGTGAACTAATTGTGAACTGAAACGGTCATTCTGATCTTAACAGCTCTCTAAAGACTGAACAATATTTTTTTCAGCAATGTTCTTTCTTTCATACTTATATAATGTGAAATAATTCGCTAGCAGTTAATCGCGATCTATTTAGAATGTTCAGAAGCATTATTTACATGTACAAAGCAACAACATATTGAATTGTCTGAAAAGGGAATGAACAGTACTGAATTAACAACAAAGACAATATCTGAAAAAAATGAAACTCTTCGCAACACTTAACGTTTTTAATTATGGACTTTTCAGATAATTATAAGATAAAAACGAAAATTTAAGACTAAAACTTGTTTACTAGTGTCGGTATTCCTATATTCCTGTATAATTCTATATAAAAAAATTTAAAAAAAAATATGAGGCCTGATCCAAGAAGTAACCCACTTAGTCTAATTCGAGTATAGTGATTTTTTTTCAAGTAAAAAAATCCAAACTTTCTTAGCTCCTTCCGAAGATGAACGATGGATGTCTTACATTCATGCATCTCTCAGTTATCGGAATACTGTATTATTACCTTCATCACATTGCTCTGACAAAGGATTCCCACAGATGTTCGGTGGACATTCATGCGGAAACATCAGAACTTTGAGCAGCTGTAATATTTCTCTTTATTTTAAACCTTTATTATCTTCTTGTCTGATAAAAAAAAGTCTTACAATGAAGTGACAGTAAGTAAAGAGTAACAAACTAGAGACAAACAATGAAACTGAGGAATTGAAGCTTTGCTTTCAATTTGGTATTTTCAAAATTACTGACATATAGACGATAGGAGACAGATGTCACTAAACGTTTATAAACTCAAAAGGAATATAAATATAATCCAACAACCGATATATTCTATTAACAAAACTTATTTATCTGGTTTTTGTTTAATTTTTGAATATTAAAAATGAATTTCACATTTACTTTTACAATACAACAGTTAATCAATAAATAGTTACTTATCATTTTCTCCATATATAACTGGAATTTTTCAAAAATTTCTCCTTAATTATGTTTGTATACATACCGTTCGTGTAGCCATAAGCTACCTGTAAACAAACAAGTTAACTGTCCCAAGTTAGGGGAGAGTTGAGCGCTCACAAACATGTTCAACATTCTTTATGTGCCTGTCCCAAGCCAGGAGCCTGTAGTTCAGTGGTTGTCGTTGGTTCATGTCTGTCATATTTGTTTCTCGTAAATTGTTTTGTTATACATAAGGCCGTTAGTTTTCTCAATTAAATTGTTTCATATTTTTCCTGTCGGGGCCTTTTATAGCCGACTATACGGTATGGGTTTTTCTCATCGTTGAAGGCCGTACGGTTGCCTATAATTGCTTACGTACACTTTATTTAAACTTTGATGCATAGTTGTCTCATTGGCAATCATACCTCATCTCTTTATTTTTAAAGTAATGAGAAGTCCACCAGATATCATTTTCTTTTCTATTGATAATCAATCATAAAAATACAAAACTGCATACTTGATATCATGATAATTAAAAATTCATACACAAGTATTGTCCATGTCCACCATAAACATATATATTATAAACACGCACCTTTATCAAAAGATACTTTATTCCTGCTTCAATATATTGAAAGAAAGTAAAATATTAGATTTTATTTTTTTTTCATTCAACATTTAACAATTTTCTAACAAAATGTAATCCAAAAATAAACCAATTATCGAGTTATTATCTGACAACAAGCAATACAAAGGTTGCTACAGAATAAAATTTAATTTTAGTACTAGAATTAATATGATGTATTAAAAAATATAGACTAAATTCCATTTTCACCCTTACATGTTTCAGATTTAATTAGCTTTATGATACTGAACACACTTTTTTTGTCAGTGGCATGAAATGACTAAAGGTACATAAATGAATACATAAGTACTATTAGTTAAGAAAAAGCTCTTAACTCAATTGAATCGGTATCACATACTAACAATATACAGAAAGAAAGTTACTGAGAAGCACAAAATATTACCTTCTTATACCCAAAATTCATTCGCTTTACTTCTAATTCGTTTGTAAAGAATACAGGAAAATCTTTTGTACAGTAGTGAAAATAAAATTTTGTACAGAATCTAAATACAGAGAGAAAAAAGACGTTTTAATAAATGAATAACACTGTAACACTGTAAATAAATAAGAAATTGTAAACATGAACTCTTTAACTCCTGAATATTTTGACATACCAAAATACATCCGCATTACGTACCAGAAATTTTCCACATTTAATAGGAATTTAAAACGACAATTCTACACAAAGCCACATTGGAATTTCCATTGAAACCTACTGTGCTCCTCTTCTTGTCGACTTTATTCATATGAGGCAGACTTCACACAGGAGCTTTTAATGACGAATGAGAAGAAGCCAGCATTATCTTTTTACTTCATTCCAGCTATATGAATGATGTCCTCTCACTAAATAATTCAACGTTTGGTGACTATGTTGAACGCATGCATCCTATTGAACTTGAAATAAAGAATACAACAGATACAGTTAAGTATGCCTCTTATCTTGACTCATTTGAAAAACTTACAAGGGTGGTCAATTGAGAACAAAACTTGTTGACAAAAGTAATGATTTTAGCTTACCAATTGTAAGCTTTCTAATTCTATGTCGTAACATTTCATCATCGCCTATGAATTGATTGACCGTTATAGAATGTCTGTTTCATAGATGACATCAGTAAAGTTTCAATTATATTCTAAGTATCGTTACCCCAATCCCGTCATCTTTTTTTTCAAATTTGATCTATCGAATTATACTTAAGCTAGTCACCAGTTGTGTACGTGCATGAGCAACACGACTGGTGCCGCATTTGGAGTAGAATTTGCTCACCCTTCCGGAGAACCAGGACTCACTCCCATCTTTTGGTGGGTTTCGAGTTTTTTTGCCTTTAGTCTTCTAAGTCGTGTTTTGTAGACTGTTGCTTTTCTTTTGTTCTTTTTTCTTTTTTTGCCATGCATTATCAGTTCGTTTTCAATTCATGAGTTTGACTATCCCTTTGGTATCACCCGCCTCCTTTTTTTTTTTGTCTGTTTCACAGCTTTATGCAAAATGTTATTAAACATAGTTCTTGTATTTTTTTCCTTACAAGGACAAATTATTGTTCACATAATAAAACAATGACGACTTTTGACACTTATGAGTAAGTT